GCCGGCAGCAGGGGGAGAGTGAGGCCCCTGCAGAGGTGGACAGCGGTCGAGGTGGCCATGAGGCCTGTGGGGATGGCCAGGAGGGTCCCAGGAGATCTAGTGACATCCAAGATGGTTCTAAAGCTTCCGTGGATGGCCCAGAGGCTCCTGCAAGCTCCATCGATGACCAAGAGAAACCAAAGAGCTCCAGCAACGTCCAAGAGGGTGCCGAGAACTCCAGGAACATCCAGAAGGATCCTAAGAGCTTTGGGGATGACCAAGAGGGTCTTGAGAGCTCCAGCAACGTCCAGGGTGGTTCCAAGAAATCTGGGGGCAACCACGAGAAGCCTGAGGTCTTTGGGGATGTCCAGCCTAGTCCTGACGGCTCCTGGAATGACCAAGAGGATCTGAAGATCTCGCGGGACGTCCGCGGCAGTGCCAAGGTCCCTGGGGATGGCCAGGGTGGCCTTAAGGCTTCCGGGGAGGTCCAAGGTGGTGCTAAGGTCCCCAGGGGCATCCAAGAGGATCCCAAAGTCTCCAGTGATGGTGGCCAAGACCCTGATGGTCCCAAGGACACCAGAGACGACCCCGATGTCTCTAAGAAGGTTGACCAAGACCTTGGCGTTCCCAAGAAGATCAATGAAAGCGCCAACGCTTTCAGGGAGATCGGAGAACAACCAAACATCTACAAGGCGGTTTGTGGAGACCGTGATGTATCTAAGAAAGCTTGTGAAGGTCGCAATATCTCTAAGAAGGTACGTGAAGACTTGAATACCCTGGAAAAGGTCAGCGATGATCACGGCGTTTCCAAGAGGACTGGGGGAGACCCTGACATGCCCAAAGAGATCGGCAAAGACCCCAAAGAGATCGGCAAAGACCCCAAAGAGATCAGCAAAGACCCCGAGGTCCACAAAGAGGTTGGTGACACCCTCAAAGAGATTGACAACGCCCCCAACTCCCCCCAAGAGGTTGGTGAAGACCCCGGAGAGGTATGTGATGACCCCAGCGCGGGCAGGGAGGCTGCTGACACCCCCGAGGACCCCTGGGGGGGTGGTTGGGCCTGGGAGGACTCATGCTCCTCTTCCTCCTCCTCCTCATCCTCCTCCTCGTCCTCGGAGGAGGAGGTGGGTCTGGAGGACG